AAAAAAAAAAAAAAAAAAAAAGTGGCTTTGGGACAAGGAGGGAAAGAGAAATGAGAAAAGGTGAATAATGAAGAGCCTGGCCTCATATTGGAACCAAGGTTCCTGAGCCAGCTCTGCTTCCAACTCCTTTGTGGCCTGGGTCCCATCTAGCCTGGCTGGGCCTCCATTTCTCTCACTGAAAAGCGGTCGGCTCACTCCACTCTCATGCGTTTAGCACAGAGAAAACACCAGGGGGCAGCCCAGGACTGCATCATCTCATGAAATCACTCCTGTGTCACCTAACAACAGCAGAGCTGTGGAGGCCATCCCACAGCCAGTGAGAGGAGACCTGGACAGCGCCACCCCTGAGACAAAGCCCAGCTGCCTGGAATTCGGGGAAGGAATCTGGAGGACACTGACAAACACAACCCGAGCCAAAAAGTCCTGCTGTCAAAACCTTTTTTGGTCTGACTTGAATGTATCTGTATCTGGAGACATTCCGACCAGAACTCTTCCCGGTAGGACATCCTCTCTGAACCTTTGTGGATTTTCTGTAGCTGTTCCCAAAAAAAAAAAAAAAAAAAGAAGAAGAAGAGGAAGAAGAAAGCCAAGCCCTTCCTAGATTTAGTGCAGAAAAGGCAAAAGAGTTGGGGACTATATCTGCCTGATCCATAAAGCGACTTGGATCCATAGAGGTGGCTGAGAAGTGCCCCGGGGTGGGGGAGTCTCATAACCCTGCAGAGGACCCTGAGACTGAAGCAGAGGCTGAGGGATCCACAAGGCTGCTAACATTCAGTCAAAAGATGGGGTGACCCAGGTATGGAAGCACACAACTGTGATCTCATCTATTTGGGAGACTAAAGCAGGAGGATCGCAAAATTGAGTTCAGGCTTCACGACTTACCAAGATCCTGTCTCAAAATAAAGTGAAAAGGACTGGGGACGTAACTCAGTGGTAGAGCACTTGCCTAGCGTGCCCTGGGTTCAATCCCTAGCAGAGAAGGAGAAGAAGGGGAAGAAGAGGAAAAAGGAGGTGGATCTCCAAGCCAAACAGAGGATTCTGCAGCCCCCAGTAGGGTCCATCATCTCTCCATGACTCCCCTCTGGCCTTATCTCTGTCCCTCCCAGGTGTGCACTGGCCTCTGTGTGGTCTTCTGCTTCCTCACCTGCTCTCCCAGTGCCCCACTGTGCAGCCCTCAGAGGTGTCTGGCTCTCCTGCAGACAGACCCGCATCCTCAACAGTGCCTCATGGGGCCTGGGAACGGCTCACTCACTCTGGTGATGGAGAAAGCTGAAGAGCTCCTTCATGACTGCCGTCTTCATGATCTCTCTGAGGAAGACACCCTGTTCGGCCAGCTGCTGGGCATTGAAGTGCTCCCCATGGCCCGTTGCCCGCTGGTAGTTGTTGAGCAGGTTAATGAAGGCTGCGTAGGTGGGCTTGGAGAACAGCTGCTCATTGACATAGGTGAAGAGCCTGGGGCAGGAGGAGGGACACCCACAGAGGGGCCTGAACATGCAGCAAAAACTCTTCCAGAAACTTCCAGAGAGCCCAGGGGCAGCACATGAGGTTTGGAGGGGGACTTCAGGTGCTCTTGAAGGTTATGCATAAAGCCACTTTTATTCCACTCCATCTCCTAGAAGATCTTCCCTGTCCTCAACCCAACCAATTCCAGAAACCCTCCCAAATGTATACCCACAGTCCCTCAAGGAGGCTTCCTTTCCTCCTGCCTGGAGAAAAGAGGAGAAAAGAGTAGGAGCATCAAAGAAGGAAGGATTGAGGAGAGCCTCTGTGGGGACCAGGGGGACTCACGGCTCTGGGCAGCGATCCACTTGGTCTCCCGTCTCTGAAGGGGAGATGCGGTTTTGACTGTTGAGAACGATGTCTTCCTTCTGGGCCTTGTTGGTGTCTGCCTTGTAGATCTTCTCAGAGATGCTCTGAAGCTCCTCTTTGGTTATGGCATCGCTGCTGTGGGAGAAGCCCTCTGGGAGGAATTGAGGAAGGGGTGATTTCAGGACCAGAGGGAAGGCAAGACAGGCAAACGTCTGTGTGCATCCCCTCCTGAGCACCTTGGAGAAGCCTGCAGGAGGTGGTTGGAGGGCAGGGGCCTAAGGACCCTTAAAATCAACCCGTGTCGTTGCCATGAATGTCCACAGAATGTCCACCCTGCCCCTTCCCTCTAGGAAGATTCTCAAACTGTGCCAGGCATCAGAATCACCCAGAAGACTTGTTAAAACAGAGTGGTGAGTTCACCCCCAAAGTTTCTATCAGTAAGTCTGGAGTGAGGCCCTAGCGTTTGTGTTTCTCATAGATTCTCAGATGCTGGTGCTGCTGGTCCAGGGACCACACTTTGAAAACCACTGTGTGAGAGTCCTTGTGTAATCTGGGTCTAGGCGGAGGGAGCAGACTGACCGTGGTCGCCACACAGACTCTCGAAATCCTTGCAGCAGTTCCCAAACTCTTGGCAGCGGTCATTGCAGTGGCAGGGGTGGTGCTTGTCGAAGGCTTCGCGGCAGCGGCCCTGGCAAGAGCTGGGCGCCGAGTACAAGCCTGAGAGCCGAGGAGAGGCGAGTCCCCATCTGACCGCTAGAGGGCGAGCCGAGCGCCCGTGCCGCCCCCTCCCTCCCCGCCGCTCCTGATCCTCCTCACTAGGTCTCCAGGGAAGGAAAACAAACAGGTCCAGTTCCTGCACACCCTTCACAGTCAGGAAGTCCTTTCTGATGCTGAACTTTATTTTCTGGCCTGTTGTTTTTATAATCTTCCCACTCTAAAAATAAAACCTCTTCCACTTCCCTCCCCAGGCCTCGGACTCTTTCCTGGTTACCCCTCCCCTTCCCTGGCAACAGGCCCCTCTCCCTCTGAGGCTGGGGAGTCCTGCCAACCTCTCTCTTCTAGCCAGGCCTGGCCCTTAGGCCTGGCAGAGCCCTCCCCACATCGCCCCTGGTGTCCCATCTTTATCCTGAAGGGTCCCATTTGGGAAAGCAGGCTCACTATTATCCGGGGCCTCTTCTTCCAGCTCCAAGAATTCCTCTGGCTCCTCCTTGGCTGCAATTAGAAAAATTAAGCTACCAGCCATCCCTAGGGACTTCCATCCCTTGCTGGGCATGGTGGGCCACTCCTGTAATCCCCATGACTTGGGAGACTGAGGGGGGAGGCTCACAATCTCTAGGACAGTCTGGGCAACTTAAGGAGACCCTCAGCAACTTAACCAGACTGTGTCTCAAAATATAAAAAAAGGACTGAGGGTGCTCAGTGGTAAAGCAACCCTGGGTTCAATCCTCAATACCTAAACATACACACACACACACACACACACACACACACAGACACACACACACACACACACACACACACATGAAGAAAAATATCTCCCTCCCCCTTTTTTCCTGGTTCTGAAGTCTCCCAGCCTCAGGGACAACCATGTGCACTGGAAGCAGATAGTAAACAAGGGCTGCAGAACAAAGGACTAGACCCACATCAAAGAGGATGAAAACTGCATTTCCAGTGGAAGGAGTTTATTGAAAACTGTTATCAATAAAACTAAAATAAGCTGGGCACAGTGGGGTAGCCCTGTCATCCCAGTGGCTTGGGAGGCTAAGACAGGAGGATTGCAAGTTCAAAGGCAGCCTCAGCAAAAGCAAGGCTCTAAACAACTCAGTGAGACCCTGTCTCTAAATAAAATACAAAATAGGGCTGGGGATGGGGCTCATTTCAAGTACTCCTGAGTCCAATCCCCAGTACCAAAATCAAAAAGCTGTTTGCAGGAAAAACATGTTCAGGAAAGCATTGCTGCAACCTGAGTGACCACCTCCTGTGCTCTGGGAGAGAAGGGTGTGGTGGGAGTGAGGGGGAGAGGAAGGAATGTTCCCAGGAATCTGAGCTCCTCTACCATCACACGTAGAATAGCCCACCTCCACAGCTGTCCCAAAGAAACAGCCATGGTACAGAGTGACTCAGAAGCTTTTAGTGAGGCTGCTAGATAGGATTGTGATATCACAATCAGAACCACTAGTCAGGTTATTTGCTCAGTCAACAAACATCTTCTGATCTCTTACTTTGTGCCAGGCTGTGTTCTAAGTGTTAGAAATCCATAAACTGTTCTGGGGATATAGCTCAGTTGGTAAAGTGTTTGCCTAGCATGCACAAGGCCCTGGGTTCAATCCCCAGCACCACCAAAAAAATCAAAAAAACAAAACAAAACAAAAACACACACACAATATAAACAAAACTGAATCTATATCAAATCAAAGACCAAAAAAAGGGCTGGGGCTGTAGCTCAGTTGTAGAGCATTTGCCTGGCACATAAAAATAAATAAAATAAAGGCATGTGTCCATCAACTACTAAAAATACTTTTTTTTAGAAAAGAAAAGAAATCCATAAACTCCTTAATTCAGCCACAGTTGATATTCATGGACTTTTGTGAGCTGAGCTGGAGTTACATCATTTACAATATTTTTTTTTCCTGTAGGAAAGAGGTTCTGAGTTGCAAATCAGAAACTTAGAGATGAAGTGTTTCCAAGGCTGGGTATGGCTACTATCTTGGAGTGTCAGTATAAGCAGGCCTTCCTGTGTCTGCTGAATGATAAGAAAGGAGAGGGCACAGAGGCAGCAGAAAATAATGGGCTCTGATTCTGGCTCTGAGCACTGGGTTGGTGTTTTTGTGTAAATTGAATAAAGGGTCCGTGTGAGTGGAAGCAGTTCCGTGAACACACAGCTGGTCAGCAGATACTACCTTTGGGCAAATTAGGAAAGGCTCAACTTTCTCTCAGCAGATATAGGTCTGCACCAGAGCACACAACCTGGTGAGAAGGGTACATACTAAATTTTAGGCCACTCAGCCAGGTGCCTTGTGCATTGGACAGTCTGTACAACCAGATGTGGTATTTTGCCGACCATTAACTTCTATAGTTTCCTTGATCATGTGTTCCAAACTGGGAGTTAGGGCACATGATTTGACAATGAATTCAGCAAGTCTTCATGTCACAAAGCAAAAGATCATTACCTAAGAGTTTGTTAAATTGCAAGCATCTGAAAAAGAAGACTATTCAAAAATGATTGTTCAAAAACTATTCACTTAGCCGGGCCTGGTGATGCATACCTGTAATCTCAACTACTTGGAAGGCTGAGGCAAAAGGATTGCAAGTTCAAGGTCAACATCTGCAATTTAGCAAAACCCTAAGCAACTTAACGAGACTTTGTCTCAAAATAAAAGTTAAAAGGGCTAGGTTAAGTGGCTCTGGGTTCAACCCCCAACACCAAAATAATAATAATAATAATTATTATTATTATTCATTTAAGGCTGAATCATGGGAACAGTGGAGGAACAATTGCCTTTGCAGGTAGTGCATGTCCTGTTTTAATCAGTAGTCTGAGAATAAAAGTTTGAAGATGTGGCTGCTCTGTCCGCTCATTAGAAGAGAGGGGTGCATTGTGACAGTCACAATGACACCTGCAGCCTTCCTGGTGGCAAACAGATTGTGAGAGCTCATTGCCATTTTTATAATTTGGTGATTTAAGGTGTTGAATAGGGTCTGAGCATGTAGCTCATTGTTACAGTGCTTGCTTAAGGTTCACAAGACTCTGGGTTCACCCCCACCACCAAGAAACAAAAAAGTAAGAAAAAAAAGTGTTGAATAACAATTGGTAATGTCACGATGCTAAAATAGAATTTTACCATTTTGCACAAACTTTCATGATATTGTTAATCCTGATCATTCAGATATTCCAGGTAAATGGCATCTACCATATTTTAGATTGGGGACTTCTTAGAAAACTTGAGACAAGTGACAGCCAAATACCTGCCCCCTGGCCCTGCCCCTTCCCCTCAGTGCACTCATCACCCCCCCACCCCCACCCTGAGCCCTGCGCCAGACTGCTGCACACCCAGGTCAGTGGCCCCTTAGGCAGACTGGACTTGAACCCTGGTCCTGCCTTCCACCGGAGCCTCACCAGTACACAGATGTTCGTAGTCTTCACAGCAGTCCCCGTGACGGGAACACCGTCGGTCACATTGGCAAGCAGCATCTCGGTTAAACTTCTCATTACAGCGAGATGCACATGACTCCAGATTTCCTGGGGGCAGTAAATATTACAGGCTCAGCTCTCTGGGGATCCTATGCTCCTCCTAAGGGTGCTCCCTGAGGGAGAGTTCACAGACAAGGATGGGGTGGCCCCCTGGTAGGTAAAGTTATTGCTATCTGCAGGAAAGAAGCACATCCAGATCCTTCCATGCGCAGCATAAGCCTCCTCCTGGCACCAGCCAGATGCTACAGGGCTCATAGCACTGACCAGACTCAAACGTCTTTTGGGGTAAGACCTGTGACATACACAAGAAAAGGAGCAGATATGAGGCCGGAGGAAGAGTTGCAGACTGTGAGAAATGAGTGATGCCCTATCTGAAATTCGCATCCATTTCTCAGTTCACCCAACTGCAGCTTGGTGTTACCAGAGGCTCCTGATTTTCAAGAGAAACCTTTTTTTTTTTTTTTTTTTTTTAAACTGAGGTTAAGCAAGGGGCTGCTTAACCACTGAGTCACATCCCCAGCCCTTTTTTAAAAAATTATTTAGAGACAGGGTCTTGCTGAGTTGCTTAAGGCCTTGCTAAGTTGCTGAGGCTGGCTTTGAACTCATAATCCTCTTGCCTCAGCCTCCCAAGCGGCTGGGATTGTAGGCATGTGCCATCACATCCAGATGGAACCTTCATCTTTATGTGAAAATTTGCCAGTTTTTAAAACTTCAGGCAGTCCCATGAAAAGGTCTGTGGACTGGACATGGCCCACTGGCCACCATTCACCAGTCACGTAAAAGGGAAATAACTGTGTTCCAGTGGTGTCCCCTACCCTTTTCCCTCTGACCTACCCCCTTGTTCCCATCCTGTTCCTTTTATGCTCTTTGATTCTGGTTCTTCCCTCTGCCCCAGTCTGGTCTTGGTGGCATCCACTTGTCCCCTGTGTCACATCTTTCTATTCCTTCCAGTCTTTGGAATGCATTCAGATGAGTTTAGGCTCAGGGTGGTGAATGAGGCGTTGTGGGTGAGAATGGGGCTTTGGACAGGATCCTGTTCTGTAACCACAGACCGCATCCCTCACTCCCGCCAAATGGTTCATGGTTCACAGAAGCAAGCTTCTGGTTACAAGGGGTGTAAAAAATATTGAAATAAACAGTACAAATTCACTACCATTCTTTAAAAAAACAAAATAAAATAGAAAGCCCCACCACAAAGACAGCTCAGCAAAGACAGTGCCGATGAACGTCAGGAACAATTTCTTTCCACTCAGGGCTTTAAGGGCCACGACAGAGTCTGTTTCCATTTGACGTTCCTGAGGTTTAGATGTTGAGAATGCTGGGTTTAGGGGTCAGGCTGAGAGCGTTGCACAAAATGTCAAGATCAAAGTCAGAGTTACCATGAGCATCGGAATCATATCAGTGAGGAAACTGAAACCTAACTTGGTTTTAGTTCACAGTTGGAGTTAGGTTTCAATTAAGGGCTATAGCTAAGAAGTGCCCTTGTGTCAAATTTATTGATAAAGTAACAATTTTGTATTGATATTTGGATAAGGAATGGGGTGAGATTGAAGGTGATGTTTAGGGTTGACGAATGTATCAGGATTAGAAGAGGAGAAATAACTCCAGTTTGGAGCTTGGCTCTGGCTGGGATTCAACAGGGATCTAGTATGCATATTTAAGTCTGGCTTGGATCAGAGGTAAATATTAGGTAAATATTGGTAACTGTTTTGAATTATTGGATTTATACTGTGTCTAATGGGAGATGGCATAGCAGAGAGGTTGAGAATCTGTACCCTGCACCAAGTTGCTTAGGACTAGAATTCTAGTTCTGCTGCTTTCTAGCTATGTGATCTTGGGCAAGTTATTTAAATTTCTTTGTCTTGTTTCCTTATTTGTAAAAGTGGAAATATAGCTCAATAGTACAGCACTTGCCTAGCATGTGTGAAGTCGTGGTACTTAAAAATAAATAAATAATGAAGCTGGGCTCCCGTGGCACATGCCTGTAATCCCAGCAGCTCAGGAGGCTGAGGCAGGAGTT